GAGGCGCCGCGCTTCTTCGTCTGGTCGGTGCCGAAGCACGTCGTGGTCAAGCCGCTGACCAAGGCGTGCAGGTACTGCTGGGAGCACAAGCGCCACTTTGGGGGGTGGTGCAAGCGGCAGGCGGCCGCGTTTCCGGGGCGGGTCAGGCGCGCTGGGAAGGCGGTCTGGCGCGGGGTCAAGAAGGTGCCCGTCGCGGCCTGGAAGGTGGCGAAGAAGATCCCGGAGGCGGTCGAGGAGCTGGCGCTGGCGTTCTGGAGGTTCGTCAAGAGGATCCCGGGCGCGATGAAGATGGTTGGGCTGTGGGTCTGGGCGACGCTCAAGAAGATGGGCAGGGCGGTGGGGAATGTCTTCCTGCGCGTCGTGTCGGCGATTCATACGGCCGTGATGGCCGTGATTGATTTCTTCCGGAGCATCACGCTGAAGGATGTGTGGGACGGGATCTGCACCGTCTTCAGGGCCGTGTTTGTCGACCTGCCTCAGGCGATATGGGCTGGCATCAAGACGGCGGGTGAGGTAGCGTACAAGGTCGCTGTTAAGCTGTTTGGCTTTGCCGGACAATTGATCTGGTGGTTCTTCGAAGCGCTGTTGTGGGTCGTCCAGTACGTCCCCCATCAGCTCTGGAAGATTATCAGCGGAATTGGAAGCTCGATTGCGAAGGGGTACCACGAGATCTTGGTGTGGTTCAATCCCAAGCACTGAAGTTTTAGTTACCATGAGCGACAGGGGTTCTTGGAGTTTTGCTTTCTTTAGCTTTGGCACTGTGGCGCTGCACGATCTTCATACCAGATGATGATATATCCCTTGGTTAGACTAGCATAGCAGCGGGCGCGTTGTTTTTTGGACTAAATACCATTTCGTTTGTTCGTACGTTATAATACGAGGACCTATTTGCTCTGGCTTCCTAACTCATAACAATGCTCTCTAGCAATATGAACTCGCTGCCCCAACTAAGAATGCACACTCTTGACTCTGAATAGCAATAAACCAAGCCGCCATCGATCCCAAAAGCGCCACGAGCCTAAATGAACGCCAGGGAGTCCTTGACACTTCTCCTCACCAAAACCCACTCACTGTCGGCCTCCTCGTCACCCACTTTCACCAGCGCACCACTGGCATCCTCCTTATCGCTCGAGTCTCCGTCGCTCCCCTTCCCCGGCTCGGGATACTTCCTAATATGCTCAACCGCCCAAATCAAATCCGCTCCAAGCGCCGGCGGTATTCTGCCCTCCCCCTTCAGTGTCCCCAGCCCGGCAATCCTGAACAGCCCATCCAGCCATTCAAAGGTCTCGCCGTCATCCCACGGGATATCGTGAAACTTCTTCTTCCCCCGCCTCGTCCTCTCCGCCCTCTCCGCCTCCCACCTCTCCTGCTCCTCATCCGACGGCAACGGCTGGGCGTTCCTGCCCGACCACAGCCGGGCCAGCGCAATGCCTTGATACTCAAAACTCCTGAACGTGAGAGTGCGCGGCACCCCGATGACGCCGAGGGTCGGGAACGCGCGGAAGAAGGTGTGCCAGTACGCACCGACCAGCTTGCCCGCGGCGTAGTCCCAGAGGGGGCGGCCGTTGGCCTTGGCGTTCCAGAAGGGGAAGGACGCCTGGTAGCCGGTGCAGTAGATGACGGTGTCGACGCCGTCGAGGTAGGTGTCGTCGTCAAAGATGATGCGGCCATCGAGCTGGTACTCCTTGATGATGGGCTTCCACTCGATCCCCGCCGGTGGGGCGTCGCCGTCCCAGCGCGATGCGGACCGGCGGGACTGGTAGACGGGCAGGTGGGCTGCTGAGACGAGCTCTTCCGAGAGGTCGTGGCCAGAGGCCGAGTTGCCGATGATGACGACTTTCTTGGACTTGTAGGGGTGCGGGGAGCGGTACAGCTTGGAGTGGATTACCCGGCCGGGAAATTTGGCCGAGTATTCTTCGAGTCCTTTAACGTCGGGGACCTAGCGGTGTTAGTCAGGTGCCAGGTTTTGGTTGGGGGCACACACGTAGGGAACGGAATAATGCCCGTTTGCCAGGACTACGGCATCAAACACTTCTTCCCACCAGACATCGACGTGTTGAGCCGGGTCGTATTTCCGGAGGGTTAGCTTCCATTTGTTGGGTGCTCCCTTTTCAGGGGGAGGAATTTGAGACAAATCTTCGAGCGTGGTGTTGAGGACGAGAAGCGCGTCGGTCTTGTGGGCGGAAAAGTAGTTTTCAATGTATTGCCGTGGGATATAGTGAGGAGCAAACGGGCCATATGCGAACCGCGCGTCAGAAAACGACATGGCAATGTCTGGGACATTGGTTCTGGTCCATATCAGTGGCAAGTCCGCAACTCTTGGGCTTTTCCCTCGGATAAACGAGTCGTACGTTACAGAAGCATAGACGGGCGTCTGGGAATATCTCTCTTGCTGGTTGGGAGGCGCGATCCTGGGCAGGTTGGCTGGGATTTCGAGAGGCGGATCAACCTCGCCCGCCAGGCTCCCAGGCTGGATGGGGGGTCCAGGCGGCGGGTCTGCATCGTAGATCCTAGGGTTGTTGTCAGCTTTGGTCCGGGGAGAATCAGAGCAAAGGGTTTGGTTACGTGCCATGTCCCGCCGGCCGTTTCCCTGCGCTCAAAGACACGAATGTGCTCAAAGTAGTCCTCTGCCTTGAATGCAGCAGCCGTTACGGCTCCTATGGAGACGGGCGAGTTAGTCCCAGCAGGGTCCACAGCGGGAGCTTGCGTTGTGTTCAGTGTTCAGTGTTCAGCGTTCAGTGCTCCATACCAGCTGCGCCGGCACCGATGATAGCCACCGACTTGACCCGAATTTCGTTTTCGCCAGCCATTATATCCAAAACCGTGAGTGACGTTGCCTACAGTTTTGTGCATTTCAAATTGGTATTCCCAGCGGAGATTCAGAATTAAGTCAGATATAGCACGTAACGGCAGATTCGTCATCCATCCGGTGCATTTCACCATGGTGCGGGGCGCTCACGCAAGCACTGGTAGCACAAGAAATCGCAAGTCGCTCTGATAACAAGTCGTGCTCGCTAGTCTGGTAGGGGAGTGAAGCAAACTAATCCCTAGTGAGATGCAGCAGATGGGATATCAAGACGGAGAGGTAGCACATGATGCTGACGCGCTCAAATAGTCTCAAAAGCGCTATTGTCTGCTACAGCCCCTATCTTCAACAACCTCGCCGGGTTACATGCGATGGGGTAAGGTACGCGATGCAAAACATATACGAGCTTAAGGCTGATTGTTTCATGTTTCGAAAAATATGACCATCTGTGGCTGCAAACATGAGCTGCAGTTTTGACTTGAGGGAGAGACGCTTGCGAGCGCCTCATCCTGTATTCAATCGAGGATGACTGAGAAATCTGACCGATGGCCCACAATTGAGCAGATCCTGGGTGGAGGACATGTTACACGAACTGGCCAATTCAAGCTTCAGGGGGTGGTCAACGGGCAGCGATGCACTAAAATAGAGAAGCCTGCCGATCAAGGAAACCAGCGGCCTATGTTCTGGCCAACAATAGCTTTGTCGGCGAGAGCTAGCCTTGAAACAACAAAGACATGAGCAGAGTGCCAGCTCATATTGGCGTACAACAAAGCGAATTGTCACGTCTCAATTGGAGGCTGCGGCATGTCATAGGAGCCACGAGGTCGGGTGGCGGCCCAACCCGACGGCCTGAAATGGCACTTATAAACCATTGAGTCACCAGCCTACCCTATCCCAGGGCCAAGTAGCCCAGATCCAGCTAAATTGGTCTTTGCCCTCAGCTATTACGCATATTTCCGGTCCAAGCAAAGAGAGCAACTACTCGTACTTACAGCTCAAGTCTGTCTGGTACCGTACTTTAGATCAACATTCGACTTACCATGGGCGACGGAAACTCTTTCGGTATGTATTACCACCTCCTCCCGAAGCGGAATGCAGTCGCTGACATGTATTCAGGGGCTCCCGAGGTGTTGCAGTCCCAAAAGACGATGCAGTTCGGCACACCACCAGCAGGGCAGGGGGGGTTCTGGCAACCTGGATTCCAGATGTTCAATTCCTTCCTATCGTCACCGGCATCAGTCATAAGCCGAGGGTGGAGTCAAGCGAGCGATTCAACATTGAACACGCCCGCGACATCAATCAGATCCTCTCCGAGTCCCTCGCCCTGTCCACCCCTGAGCGCGGGTGCCGCCCGTCTCGGCTCGCCAGACCCTTTTTCGCCCCTTTCGCCCCTTTCGACCCCCGGCTTCTCCAGCCCATCCCCTCGCACCATAGTCCCCAGCAAACCGCTCTCGTCATTCCTCCCCTCACAGACCTCCTGCGCCAGCTGCACGACTCCTATCCCTCGCGACGGCACCCACACCCTCGGCTGCGGCCACACCAACTGCCGCGACTGCCTGCGCAAGGCCGCCATGAACGCCCTCGACAGCGCAGCCTTGGGCGCCCCTTTCGTGCCCGCCGCATGCTGCGGCACCACAACAGTCCCGCTCGCCGTCATCGGCACCGTGACCACACCGGCCGAGTTCGCCGCCTACCAGGCGCGGCTCGTCGAGAGCAGCATGCCTGCCCCGCAGCGCCTCTACTGCCACGATGCGGCCTGCGGCATGTTCATCACCCCGGGGCAGCAGCGGAGCAAGTCGGGGACGTGCCCGCTGTGTCTCCAGAGGACGTGTGCCATGTGTGGCAGGAAGACGCACATGTTCCCGTGTGAGCCTGGGGCGGAGTTTTACAGGCCCAGGGGGGATGGTGGGTGGTTGGGGCAAAATACATCGGGGTCCATTTTCGGGGGGCAGACGTACCCGTCTTTGTGAGAGGTTTTGGAAACGTGAAAGAATTGGGTAAGGTCCTGTCGCGCCGGCATGGAATCACTGTATAACAAATGCTAGATATAGACATAGACGGAGTGCTGGCCCTCGCCGGCATGGATGGACCGGTGTGCATTGATACCAAGCACCGTGGAATTGTAAGAATAAGAAAGAAATATGAAAAAGACATCATGTACAATGGCAATCAGGGAAAATGGCAAAAAGATATACGCTCCCGCCGGGATTCGAGCCCGGGTCCCGGGCGAAGCAACATCTGTTGACAAGCCCACATACTAACCTCTGTACTACGGAAGCCGCGCCTTTGGTTGTTTGTTGGGACGAACAGCTGCTCGACATATACATGACGGCCGGCTGGTCGTGACTGCCTGTGTTGTCTGTCTACAAGGGTGCGCAGGAGTGGCTGGGGCCGCAAACGGAAAGGCGCAGGTTGAGCAAATGATCAAGCAAAAGCAGCCCAGTCATCTCACTAACACTGACTGAGCGGCTAGAGGCTTTTCTGGCTGCGCAATAACATCACTCTGCCACTTGAATCTGAAGATGCCCGGGTGTTGTTTGTGAATCCTAGGTCCTGTACTTGTGTGAATCCCCACTCCATGCTTCAGGCGTTAGCATACCTTACGTAAATTCACCATACTTAATCACGACGAAGTCGTCACCCCAGTACGTGAAACTTCAGTTACTAACGGTAATGAATAGTTGCATTCGAGGTCAGTTACAGTGAACCTTTGGTTACAGGTAAGGTAAGCACTGGTCAATCATTCATGCCCATCGCCCAAGTCTCGTCTTTCTGATGATGACTTTATTCAGCTGGTCCAAGTAAAGCAACTAGAAAACTTAACAAACTATCCAGCACATGAGAATACGTGACATTCATGAAACCAGTACATTCCATATCACTCCCCGGCAACATGCCAAGGTGAGACAGCGTTCATGTCGCCAGTGCCAGAAATATCAAGGGTTAGGGCCGGAAATCCTTTCCCGCCAAATATATCATTTCAACTCTCTAAATATGCATACTTTGTAACAATTGGGTAAGTTAGAACCTTAATATCGGCCAGTCCTAACCAATATGCTGGCCGTGAAATAGGTAAGCTTGGGCAAGAGGTGGACGTTCACAGACAAAAGCGCGTGCAAACATCACATGCAAATGAGGGCTCCACAGGTGTGGTCCCGCACTCGTACCCCTGCGTCATGCCAGCCAAGTTCGCGGGGACCCCAGCTTGAGCCGACAAGTGCCGTCATTTTGCCTGTGTTGCACATGCAGCGCCGAACCTCCATCCTCCCTTCTCCATGCCGCTCCATATTGTTTAAAGCAACAACAACAAATCTTCAGCGTCGGTTCCTTACTTTCCGCAGCCGTACATGAATATCTACAACCGCTGCAGCCCCCCCCAATGAGGTGAAACAGGCAATCGCCATCCCGAGTGCCCAGAGCACCGATTTGCTGTCGGAAAACCCCCCTCCAACCGCAAGTCTCCAATTGCCGAGGCAATGTCGGCCAGTACTCTCGAGAGCCTCAAGGTGCGCTCTAGCGGCGCATGCGATGCGCCCACTCAGTGTCTTTGTGGAATTCTCTTGTTGACCTTGCTGCGACACAGGCTGTTGCTGAGCGCATCGTCCTCAACCCCAAGTATCATGATATACTCTCTGTCGCCAAGGCCGCGCGCAATGGCGCCGTCTACGGCACCAAAGTGCGCTTCCCGCACGCGCTGGTGTATGTCCATCGACATGTGTCCTCTACGTGGTACTAAAGCTGATTGACGTAAATGGACAGAATGATTATACTATTCCGGTCTGGAACGTATGTTTTTCCCCAATGCGCCGGCCGCCACCCCCCCCCCCCCCTCCCCACCTGCTCTCCCCACCTACTAACCCCTTTGTTTTGCTTCAGAGTCCGCGAGAAAGCAGGGCTCATCTTCCGCGCAACGAGGACGCACGCCAGGAATCTTGCCAAGTTTGCCACCATCTACAAGCTCACATGCGTGTTGTTGAAACGCTATGGCTCGACACCAGGAAAGGAAGGCAAGGAGCCCCCTTTTCACCCCTCAGCCACCCCACCTGAAGACATGCTAACAAAAAACCCCAGGCCCCTATGATAGCTTCATCGCCGGCCTCCTGGGTGGGTACATCGTCTTCGGCCAGCGGTCAAAGCGGTCGGGCAAGATATCGAGTGTCAACCAGCAGATTGTCATCTACGTGTTTGCGCGCGTCATGCTGGCCCTGGCGCACATGTCCGTCAAGCCTGGGTATGGCTTCCCAGGGGTGTCGGAGCCGAAGCGGAGTGCGGCCATCAGCTATTATGCCTGGCCCATCTTTGCGAGTGTCTCATGGGCTGCTGTTATGCACCTGTTTAAGTGGCACGCGGCGGAGCTGCAGCCCAGCTTGCGCAGCAGCATGACGTACATCTACGCAAATTCCGACACATGGGACGGCCTTCGCAACTTTGCGTGGCATAACAAATGAGTCAAAAGGATAGGGTTGGGGCATGGCGTTGCGAAAACATTGAATCGGCGTTTGGGTTCGTGATTTGAAGAGGTGGTAGATCTGCTTTATTTGTTCCATACGAGTTATTGGTTACCTGTTACTGATGCAGCGTATATTGCACACAGCACAAGACAGCATTTGGCGGCATTTAAACCCGAGGGAGCAGGATGAGTTCAGACAGATAATATTCGAACCCGCTGTTGGTGCAGGCTATAACACCTTCCCTAGTATGCGCCTGCCCTCCCCAGCCCTCCCTAATGGTGACGAAGCTTTACGCCTTCCTCGGGATGGCGGAGCTTTCCATGCATCCCAAAACCCATTTCCATCTGCTCACACTTCTTTATCAAAAAGACATCCTCGTCTTACGGATGCACGTCTTCTGCATCTTGCATCTGTCACAGCGCCTCGCCCCAGCCTTCCCACTTTCCCGAACACAGACCTCGAACCTAGAACCAAAAGGTCAGAGAAATGGATTCGTCCGGGCGTAGAAGAGAACCGTTCCTCAACCCCGCCCTGCATCCATCTGATGAACCCATATCCTGCCCACGGTGGCTCCCCATCGCCGTCTGGGTTCTCGCGTGGACTTGTATGGGCTCTGTGCTTAGGCAGTTGAGCTCGGGACAGCCAACCGGGCCGTTGTTTTTGGTATCCATACTACCTGCTGTCGTATTTGTCCACGTAAGGGTTTGTGTTTGGATGGTATGTGAATCTGACGTTCCATCTTGTTAGGAAATTGTTGCTGATAAGTCTGCCAGAAAGACGAGATAGAGCGCCAGCTTCAACTACAAGACAAGGCCGAACCCATTCCAGAGCATCGCGGACCCAAGATGGCCACGTCCAACGATCGGCGGCTTGACGCCCTCGGTACCCGGGTGATTCGCAATGGGTCCAGCACCGAAGGATACAGCGCCGACGAGGATGGGGATGGTAGTGACGACGAGTCGAGTGAGGACGAAGATGGTAGCGACGGCGAATCAGATGGGCGCATAGTCCTCTTCGACAGGCGAGAGACACCGCTTTTTCGCATACCACAAAGGGCACATGCACTAGTAACCTGGGACCCAGGACACACAGAGGACAGTGATGGGGAAACCACCGACGACAGTGATGGGGAGGACAGCGATGAGGAGACTCAGGTGGATGCCGCAGAAGTTGCCGAAGCACTGGATGCCTTTGAGGTTTTGAGCGCCGTCGAGGCTATTGAAAACATGGAAAATGGCGAGGTCGCTAATCGGCCGGAGGAACGCAGGGGAGTTGCTGTCGAGGTACGTTCTTTTCCTTTCTTTTTCTTTTGCTTTTTACTCTTCTCTTCACGATTAAAGCCATGATACCCGAGCTTGTTGACCGTCGGGCTCGCGAAGTCGTTGTTGCCAAACATATAGCTCTCTTGGTGCATCCTACTCCCACCACGTTGCCACTCGCCAGCGGCCCGGACGGACGTGTCGATACTCTTTCCCCACGTGTTCTCAATTTCAGTGGCGGTGAAGTTGAAGGTTCAAAGTCGGAACCAGATGGTTTGAGGAGAAAGTATCCGCAAATGCAGCAGCTGCGCCAGAGCGCCATTTGCGATAAGATAAGCCGAGTGGCAACCCCTCAAACGGAACTGCTAGTGCTCTTGAACCTGAGAGAATCGTCTTGTTTTGTTTTCTATCACGCTAAAGCTCGCAATCCGTTCGCCCCGCGGCTCAAAGTGCTGGATTCCCCATGGGACAGACATTAGACGCCCACATACCCGCCCATAGTCCCCGAGCTGCATGAAGTCCAGCGGGCTCGAGTGGTCTCGCCGCGCTCCACGTATGCTCCCCTGCATCGCCACACAGGCCCAAGAAGTCCTGAACAAGTGGTCGCTCTGGGTCTACCAAGTCTCCAAGATGGGTTCTGATTGATTTTATCGCGATTATGGCGAGCCACATCTCCGGCGCGCCGTGCCTTAGTGAACGGGGGAGCTGCGAGAGGAGCTGCGGTGGCTGCCTGGCTGATGGCCGATGGGATGCAGGGCAGCCCTGTGCAAGCCGCAGCCCAAACAGTTACACATCCATTTGCCCAACAGTGCCCCGAAGGCCCTAAGTGTGCACCAAATTCCCGCAAAGCCTCAGGTAAAACCGGTGGCGAGACTAGCTGCTGCCTTCGTTTGTCGGTAGGCTGCTCCGTCACTTGACCCGACCTGGGATTCCCAAAGTTGTAGCCCAGCCGCGCATCGATGGGTGCATGTCTGATGTCTGCATTCTGCCCTGCTGGCGTGACGTGCTGGACATCTCGAAAAGAGTGACTTGGCTTCCCCAGATCCTCGGTGCCTATCCTTGGTTCTCGGACTCTGGAAGGATTTGTCTTCTTATGCCCCAAGTTGCCGAAAAGAGAGGCTGGCCATCCAGTTTGCATCATAGACTGCCACAGGCCCCAACACAACAAGCAGTTTGGATGCTCGAGTGAGTAGAGTCACAAAGTATAATAACATGATTCACAACTTTCCTTCTCCTACTTTGTTTCCCAATATTCGAGAACCAGCCCCTTCATAAGTCATCCGCAAACTGCCCATATCTATCTAGACTATGCACAACCCTTTCTCCACCTGTCTCGCTGCACAAACTGCTTCGCGATTCTTGAACACGCCACGCAGAGTCACCTTCACCTTCCACCTTCCAGAACCCGCATGTAAAACAACACAGCGGACCTGCCACTCACCACATCAACACACAGACAAATCTCGGAGATAACTACGACACCCTCACCATGGCCACCGAGTGCCTTATCTGCACCAGCACCATCCCCGCAGGTTATGGCTACCGCCTCGGCTGCGGCCACTTTCACTG